AAAGCCAATAGCCATAGACTAAAACCAGAGAAACTGCTGAACCAGCATGACAACATCTTAAGAAGTTACAAAAATAACAGTTCTTTTGAAAATGTTATAAAATTACTGATCTTCATAGCAAATTTGAGTAAAATTACTGTATTTATTACTGATTGAAAGTAAACTTACCTGAAGGACTCCTAAGTAATGGAAATAGTGAGATATTCATGAGTGCCATAGCACATACGACAAAGTTCGTTAGACATTGACATTCGACATTATTGATAATAATAATTATACAAGCTGTGATATTGTCAGAGCATACATTATAGCTTTTAATATGCATACATATAACTTTTACAGTCTATACATGTATAAATAGATTTTTTTTCTGTAAGAGGCATGTAGGTGCCTATTGCCCTTCCTGTGTGATAGGGAAGTATGTATTTTGGATGTTTTCCCGATTTTAAACAGCTTAAATGCATTATATGCAAAGAAATACGAATCAAATAACTTAGAAAAGCTGATACTGGGAGGGTTTACTTCTATTTTTTTAAAACTTAAGAGTTTAAATACTTGGGTTAATGCCTGCTTTCAGTGTCATTTATTTACAGATGTTTTCTGAAACACCAAACGTATCATTGTACAGGTACCTCAGTTTGTTTTATACAGATAGGTATAGTCTTAGTTACTGAGATGTGACAACTTCATGTCTGGCATCTCTGTTTCACATAAGAGATGAGCCGTGAAATGACTGGAGCGCATCAACTGAGAGCTGCCACACCACTGCGTCGGGCCAGCGTGTGCCTGGCTGGTTGCTTTTCCTCACGTGTTATGAACTCTGACTAGGAGAGGGAGAGGTTACGCTCACAGTAGACACACATACTGTGGATGCAAATCCAGGTTTTGTAGGTACTGCCATTGCTGTCTCCTGGGTATGTAGTTCAGTGCACATTTCTGAAAGCAGTGGTGTCTGCTTGGGCAGACCCCTGCAGTTTATTCACACACACTCTTGTTGCCTGCTTAATTATCCTGGGTCTAATGCTCACACGGTGAACTAGATCTTGCTTAATTATCCTGGGTCTAATGCTCACATGGTGAACTAGATCCGCGTTATTCATAACTAGTTGGTTTTGGATGGTTTATTTTTTAACTTGCAATGTTTCCTTGGTCCAGTTTATGAAATGGAAGTGCAAACAGCTGTACTGGCTTTCGGGCAGGAATAATCACCAGAGGGGAGACTCTTAAATTCAGCACTGCTGCTGAAAGACTTACTCATGACTTTAATTAGCAACTTGCATTATTGTTGGAAGTGGTGACATAGAGGTGTGTTCTGCTGGTTTGCGTCAGATGTGCATGGAAAGGGATGCACATCTATGGTCAGAGAAACCTATTGTGCAAAAAACCAGGTGGTATAGAGAAGGGATGCACATCTATGGTCAGAGATACCTTTTGTGCAAAAAACCAGGTGGTATAGATAAGCCCGATTAAGCTTCATTTTAGCAGATCTGCTTCAGCAAATGCATGGAAAACCAAAAGGCTGCAATAACTATATGGTATATTCATTATTTTAGCTAAAATTGAATTCTTTGCCAGCAGTAAGAGTTCTAATAGCAAAAAATTAAAAGTAATTGACACAGAGTTTGAATCATTTTATTGCCAACAATCAAATATTTGAGGTGTTTGATTTGAGGGTAATAATGTTTTCTCTATTTGTTTTTGTTAATAAATGGAGGGATTCTAAGTGTAAAGCTTGTTCTGTAATTCTGTAAATCTCCAGTTGTCTGGTTTCCTCCTGGCAGCCAGGATTCTGCATGGTCTTCACAGAGCGAGGAAAATTCCAGCCTAAATCAAGAGGAATTTCTATTTACTATATAATCAAGGGTGGAGTTCTCCTCCTTTAATTCTGCGAGCATAGAATTGACATAGCACTGGCTGGCTGTAAATCATGATGTGAAACTCCATCTTCAGGTTTTTATAGATCGTGCATATAATCTGTCTACGGAGGATGCTCAACATTCAGAGACTAGTAAATACTGTCCTAAATGTAATCATAGTCCAATAAAGACAGGGGCAGAATTGTTACTGGCTCCAGTGCGTTCAAGCTTCCACTGCCAGACTTTTTCACTGAAAAAGTCTAAGCGAGAGGTCTGTTTTCTCTGCTTTCAGTTGATGGACCCTCATGAAATCTGTTTCTATTGGAAACTGCTGAAAAGGCTGAAGACATTGTGCTGTGTTGGAGATTCTGTAGGGATGCTGTACTGAAAAAGACAGATAGCTAAAAATCAAGTTTTTTTTAAATGACATCGGTGATGTTGGGTATTTCATGAGGAATTATTTTACACAGAGCCTGCCATCAAAGAAGGTGAAGTGGTCGAACAAAGAGGGTCCATATGGCATTCAAATTGTATGAAGCTTGAAGTTAACCTCAATTTGAGCCCACGGCAGATAAAGTCCATATATTGCTTAGAAAACTTACTTTACACGATGCTAGGTGTATGTCTGTAATACTACCTTCCCATGCTGCAAAGGCCTCAGTCAAAACGATTTTCAAAGATAAGTAAAAATGAATTCTTTATTTCATGGGTAGATTTGCTTCAGTTTCAGTTTTTCAGTACTGCTGTATGGTCTTTCTTTTTTTTACTTAGTAGACAAAAATCCAAAATTAACTTAGCAGATAATGTTTGTGCCAAAAAAGCATTTCTTTTGTCTTTTTGTACTGATATTGTACTTCACCCTGTGCTTCAAAGCTGAATTCAATCACTGATGAAAGAACTGAAGTTAGGTCACAGGGCACAAAAACTATGAAACGCTGCAGTTGTTTTCATCTTCTTTGTAAATAGTAAAAAAATATACTTTCTACTTCACAAAGTTTTCTAGTAAATTCTACATATATGCATATATATGTATATATTTATAGTGATTGTTTTATGCTTGGTTATAAGTGTTTTCTCATATTGTGTAATGTTTTGGGTGACTAACATTGTTTGGATGTAGTTAATATTTTTTAAATGTTATACATTTAATCTCACTTCTGTGAACTTGGAGGGGTTTTTTATGTATTTGAATGGGTGAACATGGGAATGATGGAAGTTATTGAAAATGTTTACATCAAAATAAGGTGTCAATTTTAGCATGACTGTTGCTATTTGTGCCTGAATTTGACTTCTTGCTATTGCTGGATGTTATTGTAGGAGGAAAATGGCTTTGTAATGACTTTCACAGTGATGCTTATTTAGATATGTCTGTTACAGTTGATCTTGAGTCATAACACTGTTGTTGGCTTATAAACTATAATAGTTGAAAAATATGATGGAGCGATCAGAAATGTATTCTGATGAAAAATGCATCATTCCATTCTCATATGAGCTCATGTCATATTATTTTATCCGTAGTTGTGTGTATATTTCCATTTAGATGTATCCATATGCACAGACATTATCTAAATAGCCTGTACATAACTATAGAAGAAGTCCTCCAGCATTAAGCTATGTGTCTTGAAAAAAATGTACTATGAAATATAAAATGATGAGGGATGTATTAGTGCATGCCTATTTTGCAGAGTCAGGTAGTATATTAAAGTTCCTTTTTAGTAAACATTATTTTTAATAATGAAAAATAATCAGCAAGATTTGCGATAGAGCTATAGACATGTCACACACTTTCTGTGAGCTGTTTTGAGGAATTAGCGGCTTTTTGTTTTCCTTCCATATTCTGTAGGAAGAGAACAACTCTCCTCTCACTGGGGACTTACATAGAACATGAGCGTGCATATCCCTTTCTAGCTCATATTTGTGGAATGCTAAACTTTTTCAAATTATTTTAAAGTCTTCTACTGCCTTTACATAGAAAATCCAAGATTGTAAAATTTCCTTGTTCAGCTACTTAACTGCCATTGACGAATAAAATCCATTATGCTAAAATGATGAAATTTTGCAGTCCAGAGCTTCCCATTTCTTCTAGGCTCACTAGAAAGTGAATGTGATTCCTGTACAAAATCCTTCCTCACTCTCCATCTTCTCAGAAAAAAAAAATTCTTCTGGGAAAATTTGCAATACGTATCTCAGAACAGTCATTCTTTCTATAGCTGTAACGTAGCAGTGTCTCCGCAGGGTGCTTACCTACCTGCCTGGGTGTGTTCTCATACTCTGTTATAATTAGTTATTTAAATGCTTATTAAGGTGTGTGTACTAATTTGATGCTCAGGGAAACATACTGTATATCTTTATGTTCTAATCGATATTTTCCTCATTCATCCTTCCCGTACCTTAATAAGAGACATCATGGTGTATTTATTAACAAATGTTTGCTTTCTCATTCTAGCTATACTGCTGATTTGTTTGTAAAAATCCTTGTTTTCTCTAATACTATCTAATTACCATCTACAAAATTTGGTTAAAATATACAGCTTCTTATTTTGTGTACGTTACTTACAGTTGAGTACTGAAAAGCAGTACTTCTTAATCATGCATGCTTTGATGTCCTGTTGATTTGGTTAAAATCTACTATCTCTCTGAAAAAATGGGAAGTCTGTCTCTCAGATTAAGTGGACGCTCAATGCAGGAAATGCCTTGCAGGATGTGTGTTCATTCAGTGAAAGTCTGTATGGTATTTGATATAATACCTGAGATGATAAGTTGGGATTGATTTTTAAATTCTTGACTTTGAGATACAACAGATAACAAAGCTTTTAATGAATAATAGTCTGGGAGTTAGATTATTCTGCGTTTAGAAAGGTTTAGTTAAAGAATTGGACTCGAGAAGTCTTCCTGTTTGTAGGGATAGGACTGGGAAAGGGATTTACAGATACAGTATCATTTTTTTAGTGGATGGCAGATGGGTGCAGCATTCTGAGAAGTACCCACTGACTTTGTGCTCGTTTTGAGGAGGTTTGGTGTTAATCTGAGGTACTAAATCTTTAGTCTTACTGGAGTGTGTATGATAATGTGCTTACTCTTTCAGTGTAACACAGTTCATGCTTCCAATTTTGTCAGCCCAAATCGTACGATTGATTAGAATAAAGTACCCCAAACAATCAACAGATTAAGTATGTATATGGATTTCTGATTCTCTTATTTACCTTGTCAATTTTAAATTCCTAGTTTTGTACCTATATCATCCATGTTCTCGCAGACAGGAAGGATGTAAATTACTTGATAAGAAAGCTGGAATTCTCCTGTAATAGAAAGTTTTCAAGATTTAAGGCTTTATGAAATTTACAAGTAAATGGCAATCAGAAGATGTAATCTGTCAGCCTGATAATATTACTTAGGTACTTCATAAAGGATTTCGAAGTCTTTAATTATTTTTGAAAGTCTCAACAGCTTTGAAATAAAAAAATGAAAGCCCACTTGAGGAGGAGTTGTATTTCATCGCTTTCTAATGTGCAAAAAAAATACCCCTTCGAAATGGATTCAACCTTTTCTGACACTGCTGTTGGGTGACTGGAAAAAGTTGGGAGGGGTTTGTTTAGTTGGTCTTTTCCACCTTTTTCTGAATTGTGAATGTTGTGTGCACTTACCAATGAGGCTTGGCTCAGCCCATCACTGATATTTGCAGTGACATCTAGTGGACTGTTTCTGCAACTGTACATTAACATCTAACGGTAACACACTGGTAGAGAAGTCTGCCTGCTATAACTTCGTTATTTAAACGTCTTCTCTAGCATTTCTACTGCATCTGTGATGTGAATGTTCTTTACATGTGTCTGTACTTGTGGGCAAGCCCTTTAATTTGCTATTTTCTTAAATGCTTATAGACTGAAGACCCAACCATGGAAAGGCCATACACATTTAAGGATTTCCTTCTCAGACCAAGAAGGTGAGAGAGAGGACCTTTGTGTTTTAAAACATTTCTTACTTCAAGGTTTGTTATTTGCAGCTACTTAAGGGTTGTTGAATGCAATGTACCTTCTTGTCTTCTAGCCACAAATCTCGTGTAAAGGGTTTCTTGAGACTGAAGATGGCTTATATGCCTAAAAATGGTGGCCAAGAGGAAGAAAACAATGATCAAAGGGATGAATCTGAGGTAAGGCTTAATGCTTGTGGAAGCATTCAAGTTATTAGAGATTCAAGTATAATTGTAGAAAAAGTTGTACCTTTGAAAGATAAAACCCTGGTAACAGTGTTAGTAGCAGCTTACTCTCCTCCCCCCCCAGCTTTTTTTTTTTTTCTTTTTTTACTGTAACCTGGTGTTTTCTCAACCATTTCAAGTATTTCAAAGTATTTCAGCTGCCACAATGAATTCTAAAGTCTATCTGACTCAGTTTGTGAGCAATTAGAAGTGGAATTCATACTAAGTAGAAGAATTCAGAAAGTCTATGCAAGTAATTTATAAACATAATGGTCTGTATTAGGTGCCTCTTCTTCAGAGGCCATTTCAAAATAGGTGTTACAACATTTTTCTTTATTTCCTTGGCAGCATTGACTTTGCAGAGAATAAAGCTCATGCAAGCACAGCAGGTTTCAAGACTTTTCAGCACTCTTGTCAACCATCATCCATTTTAAGAATTAGCTGCAATTAGGGCTGACAGAGTGAACGTCAGCCCAAGTTTGCCTTACTAATAGTTTGCAGCAGTCATCTGTAACTTGGGAATGAGGGCTCTCATCCCAAGCCATATATCTCTGAGTTCAAAAGTTAGCAGTTGGTTCGCTCTGGCTTCTTGACTGGGAATCTGCACCTGGCCACCACTAGAATGAGCAACCGCCCAAATACATTTGGGAATCCCTATTGTAATAGACTGATGGGATTTTAGGTTGTTTGTCGTTGAAGTGAGGTGCACGCTGTAACCATGGAGCTTATTCTGTTTCTATATGGTTTACATTTAAGTAATTCTGAATTTCTCTTTGGAAAATTTTCAGAATCTGCACCTATACACTAATGTAAGCAACAATGAAATAACTTCTCTTTAACTTGAACTTTAAAATTTATTCCCCCCCCCGCCTTCCTAAGCACGGATGGGATGTGGTTGATTCCAGTGACTCCGCATCTCAACGTCAGGAGGAGTTACCACCTCCTCCGCTGCCTCCTGGATGGGAAGAAAAGGTGGACAACCTGGGGCGGACTTACTATGTCAACCATAACAACAGGACTACTCAGTGGCATCGACCAAGTTTAATGTAAGTGGCAGTGTAGTGCAATGTTTTGTGGATGTGTGCAAAATTACCAGTAAGTAGTGATTTTTTTCCAACAAACATAACCATTTTGAATTTACAACTTCAAGGCTGGAAAAAGTCTTAAGCAAGACATTTACAAAGCAGTTTATAAAGGCACACTGTTCTTTTTGGTAACAGATTAATTATGATTTTGGTGCTAACTGTGCTGCGTATCTGAAACCATACTTCATTCATGGAAAAATTTTCACAGATGTGCTAGTAAATTGAGAACCAAAATCTGGAGATCTTCAGTTAAAAAGGAAACATCTCTTTTTTAAGAATGAGAATAGACTTCCCCACCCCCAGAAAATCACACATGCACTTAGGTATTCTGGGAAATTCTAGGAAATCTGAAGGGGCGGGAGGGAAGCTAGTGCGTTAACAATGTACCTTAGAATATTGGGAGACACATGTGGAATTTTTCAGTAAGTAATTTAACAGGAATAAATTACTTTCTTCTATAGAGACTATTGAAAAGGCAAGGAAAAAAAATGTCAACTCTATTAAGTTTTAATTAAGTTAAACTGATTAACTTTGAGGAGATCCTGATTATTATTCAGTGTATAGACTGCATTACCTATGTACACTGGTTGTGCTTATGTGGAGTTCCTGTTCAAGCCTTCATTATATGTTTCTTATGATTAGATTTATAAAGCTGTGGCAAGCTTACATTTTAAAAAGTATGTATAACTGACAATGTTAAGAGTTATACTGAAATCATGTATTAGGTAAACATCTTGCATTATTTTTATGTAGCGACTATTCTTCCGCTATTGCTTATTACAACAGTAATAGTTATTCTTTCTTGCATATTCATAATCATAGCTAAATTACACAAATGTGTGTTGTCCTTATTTAAGGCACTATTTGTTGTTCTTGTCTGATGCTTTTTTCTTAGTTAGAACTGAATTAAATTTTGTTCTGTATGTTTTGAACTATTTACTGTTGAACTATTTGAGCTATTTACTAAGCAATGTGTATTTTGTCAAGCAAATCTCTTCAACTACTATCATGATTTGTAATGGTGAATGTGTCTATAAAAAAGCAGGTTTTATAAATTATTTGATGTAGCACCTCCTTGTAATCCAATTATGCTAAACGAAGTAAAGAGTACATGGATTCAGAAATGTTTGACTGGCAGATACCAAAAATAATCACCACTAGAAAGCATCATCAGCACATGGGTGTATATAATGAAGGCCTCAGGGGTTCGCTTTTAGCTAGGTATCATCACAGGTAGTTTGGAAACAAATGCGTAATTACTACTGATAAACTTTATGCATGACACCAGGCTTGGTGAAGAGTGAAGACTTTAGAATGATGCTGTTTAGCCTTTAAATTCTATAAATTTATGAAACCACTAGGAGCAGAAGGTCTCATGAGGTTGAAAGTAGGATACATAACCTCTCACTTTTAGGCCAGTGACTTAGATGCTAAGTTGGTCAGCAAGGAAAAATATTGAGTGCTCTACAGTCTGTGTCTGCAGTAGGAACATGAGAGTAGTTCATTTCTCATAGTTGTTTAAAATGTGCAATGATAAAATGATTGCACAAAGAAGTTTTTCCTGAACATAACCATCTTTCAAAGTTACAGTCTCTCATCCTGAAGGAGAGGTTCAAATACAATACTGCCTTCTAACAACATCTGCCCATTGAGTACTGTAGTAGAGATTTATATCTAGCTGTGCACATTGAGAAGTCCCACAAGCCAGGCAGGTCTCCATTAAGGGAACTGGGGTATTTTCCATTTCCACCACTGCTGGTGTGAGCCAAGCTAGTCGTTGCAGCCAGTTCAAAAAGTTATCCATACCACAACAGCTTGCATTTGCTTTGGCTATCAAAAAAAGGAAAGCAATAGTTGCCATAAAGACATGGGCAAAGGTAAAATCTCTGTGTTGGGAATGATTATGGTCATCACAGGAAAGGATGAGTAATGATGGGTTAGTATATTTGAGTGTGGACTTCTATTTCTGCTCACCCAACTTTGACATATAAAGAATGTTAATTTCCATTGTTACATGACATTTGTGAAATGCTTCCAGTTTTATTTACTTTGGATTGAGGGATTAAATGGTCTCCTATTTATGAAGCCTGACATATGCAAGAATAATGATTTTTATAATCAAAATCATTAATGAGGTTTTGAAAGCAATGGACAAAGTAGGTGTTTTAGTTTAACATTCATTATTTTCTTGTTCTTTTCTCCTTCACATGCTTTCATTTCCCCATTATCCAGTGATTTGGGATCTGATTCAGATAACAATATCAGGCAAATAAACCAAGAAGCAGCCCATAGGCGGTTCCGCTCTCGTAGACACATTAGTGAGGATTTGGAACCAGAACCTATGGAGATTGGAGACATTCCTGAGGTATGTAAAGGTCTTGGTTTTAAGAACACTTCAAGCTGATGTGTTTCTCATTTGTAATTACTATATAACATACATAATAATGTTTTTACATGGTGTCTATGGAAATTGCCTAAGTAAGATACCAGTGACAATAAAAATCCTAAACAGAACTATACTTTCAAGGACCCATGCATTTGTGGGTGCCTGATAATGTATGCACAATACTAAATACTATACAAATGCTGGGAGAAACATTTATAATTCCAAGCATTGCTTGTTATATATGCGTTGATAGAAACACTTTCAATGTTCTGCTTTGAATAACAGTGGAATAAGTCGTAAAAAGAAGGGAAACATGCTGGCTGGAACTGCCATATATTTCAGTTTTCTTTAGTGTCTTGATTTAGAGGAAAGAGAAGCTGTTGGTTTGTTTCCTAGAATGCTTGGTTTTAGTTAGAATTCTGAGATCTCTTATTAATCAGAGTGAGTATTTGTTTAATTTATATCTAGACTAAATAAATTAAATTTGGTAGATATTTTTAGGCCTAAGTGAGAGTTTGTGCAAAGCTCGAATCTCATTCAACTTTAAGGAACATTTTATTATGTGAACCACAGACAAAATTCTTTGTGAAAGCTAGTTTTGGTTCACTAAATGTTATTCAGAGCAACAAATAGATTGCTGAAACTGTTGTTGGCACTCGTCACCTGTTAATATTTGATTTGCAGATACTAATGGGTCCTTTCTATTATGCATTTTATTCTAAATTAAAATTAACAGTTGTTTCTTACAAGTTTTTAGTAGGAGTGCAGAATTAGTTATATTTTGAACAAAATTTCAAATAGAATTTATTTAATGAGAGCTCTTTTTTATGCATCTTTTCATCTACATCATTTTCTGTGTTGAATCGTAAAGCATTGTGTCATCATCAACATGAAGACCATTTTGAATTCAACATGAAAACCATTTTTCCCTGTGACTACTTCACATTGCGTAGAGTGTTTGTTTACATGTTCTAGGGATTGGTTTATTTTGTTAAATATTAAGGCTGTTTATCACACCCGTGTTTGCCGCAATGAGGTGATCACATAGAAGGCAAAGGGAAAGAAGACTCTATCTGTCTTTATAAATGCTTAACGTAGTTTCTTCTCTTTTGTTAGCCTTGGGAAACCATTTCAGAGGAGGCAAGTGCAAGTGGAGATTCCTTAAGCTTGTCATTGCCACCTCCTCCTGCATCTCCAGTATCCCGTACCAGTCCTCAGGAGCTATCTGAGGAACTGAGCAGAAGACTTCAGGTCACTCCTGATTCCAATGGGGAACAACTCAGTTCTTTGATTGTAGGTGACAGGCTGCTTTTTCTATATAAACCTCTATTACTGTCGTCATCTCTTAGTTTGACCTAATCTGAATCATTTACACGGATGGGTAGTAATTGCTGGTCTCAGGAAAACCTGAACATACAGTTAAAATTATCTTCAAAAAAATGCATCATAATTTCACCATTGAGCAAACTGCCTTGAACAACAGAATTCCTCAGTTTAGATTTAATGTTTTCTTCTGTGTGAGTTTAACTTCAGACTCTGCTACTGTTACACCTTTAGTGAAACAAAACATGTAATACTAGAGAGTACTAAGCTAAGAATTTCCAAAGGAAAGAGGAAAAACTGCTAATGCTCTTTCAGTCATCATCCATTTTTCTACATGATAATTTTTCTTAAGTTCAGTATTTTAACTGTACATGTTTATATTAAAGCATGTGCTTTCTTATATTAGGATTTTATAAACCCCTCCTAGTTTACTGGATTAACTATTATAAGACTAACAAAGGATTAGAACTGAAAGTAGGTAGTTCTTGTGAAATCTTCCACAAGTTTGTAAATGGCTAGCTGGAAAAAAATTGTCTCTAACCGTAAGAGTTTACTTGAGGTAAAACCAAAAAATGTCCTCTATATTTGTGTTATCCATTAGTTTGTCAGACTGATGATACCACAAAAAATAAGGATAATACAGTTGCGGGTGGGGGAATGTCTTATGTCTCTTTGATTACGAAAAACAATTGTAAGTTTTAAGCAGAACATCATGCTGTGATTTGTTCATTTTTTTATTCTTGGTATATGCCATCAAGGTACCTTTGCAATTCAAGAGATAAGAAATCGTATTTACTCTTGTTCTGATTAAATAGAATCTTGATTAGGTGCAAGTTTTTCACAAAGAGCTTATGCAATAGGTGTCTTACAATGATTTGAATATTATCTAGAGGTTAGTTAGCAAATTAAAGCTCTGATGGCTAACCATCTGCATAAAGAGTCACTTGTGCTTTTGTAGATAACTGCAGCTTTTAGTAGACCTTCACTTGGAGGGCAGGAGATTAATCAAATAGTTTCAGCGGCAAGATCAGGGCCTACATTTTTTTACACCAAAAATAATAAATAAATGGTATAGCTGCAAAGTTATCTTAATTAAAATAATTCGATAATTACATTCCTATACAAACTAGTTCTTTTATGAGCCATTAAGTGATAACATCTTTCTTAGCAGTGCAATAAAAATTATAATCAGACCACACTTGCAACGTAAGAAATTGTCAAAGCATTTAAAATCTCTGTTAGTGTGCATTATCCAGTGTAAGAGGGTGTTGAGATACTGAAAGTAACAGAAAAAACCAGGCAGTGAAATTACTCTAAAATGCCTTGCTGAGGTGCCCAGAAATCTGCATGCAGAGACTGAGTGGGTCAGCAGTGTTCAGTGTGTAGCCCTAGCCTATCAGTCAAGGCAGCTCATGGCTCTGAACTGTGCTTCCCACAGCTCTGGCCTCTGTGAGGGCTCACTGGCCTTATCCAGCACTTAAGTCTGAGCTGGTTCCATGTGAAGGAACAGTGCTTACCCTGGGCTAATAAATCCTCCCAATTTGGAGGTTGGCAAGCACAGTACAGAGACATCCAAGAGCTTCATTTGGATTGAGCCAGGTAGGCAGGAAAAGTTTGGCACTTCCAGCTGAACACAAGCTATAATCCATGTGCTCAGGTATTTCCACGTGACATTTCCTCTTGATCCAGATTCCTGAAGGCTTGTGAGATCCTGAAGGCTTCATGACTTTGCATGGAGGAAGCTTGGATCCAGGGTTTTTCTCAAACCCACCAGCTCTAAACTGGCTTTATGTAAAGCTGGCTCAGCTCTGCAGGTTGTGAGCTGAAACTAGAAGCACTTACAGTTGCATTTCCCCAACAGTGTGCCTATACTAGTATATCCAGCCTGACCTTTGATTGTTTTACAGACAGCTTCAATGTCTCTACATCCATACACAGTTAATCTACAACACAGCTAAATTGCCAACAGATACTTGAGGAGTGGTTGTATGTGTGTTAAAGTATGTTGTCACTCTCTTCATATATTATGTAATGCCAGAAAACACTTCAGACTTGTTGGTCAATACATTTGTCAGACAAATCCTTTCACGTTAATCTTTAGCACAGCATAGAAGCAAGGTGTAATTACATCATCTTTTCTATATTTTTTTTTAAACACTGATCTTTTAACAGAATGTGCTCTTAGGACTGATGTATTCAAGTAAGAGTTGGAGTTTCTGATATGTCTCTCAGATAGTTTGCTTCATGGTGTTGCTTTGTTGTCTTTCAATGATACATAAGGGTGCCCATGTGAGCGGTTATAAATAGGCTAGGTCATTTGCTTGATTATTAGTGCATTCATTCTCGTACCATTAATATCCAGAAGAGGGTAATGCTGGTTACTCTTTGATTAAAGATGAGGTATCAATTATGCAAAATAATAAGTTTAAGAATTACCCAAGGCTTGTTTCTGTACATGGAATTTACAACCTCAATCAAACCACACAGAAAAGCTGTGTGAGAAAATGCATTTGAAGTGAAATGCTATTTAGATGCTGATTGATTGTATTGAATACTGTATAAATACTGTATTTTACTGAATACTGGTCAGCCCTGAAGTGGTCAGGCAGTTGGACTAGATGATCCTTGTAGGTCCCTTCCAACTAAAATACTCTATTCATGGCTTTCTTTGTTGCCAGCTCTCATGACTACAGTATTTGTATATTTTTTTCATTATAGGGGATTTCTCATGAGTAACAAAAAATGATTGCTGATGCCATGCCTAATGTTTTCTAGATGTCTTGGTACCAGCTATGGGGATATTTCAAAATTACTGTTATACTGACGTATTTCTTATGTTGGACTACACCTTGTAGACCAGGTATTAATTCTACAGGGCAATGCTTGCTAACTGATGTAGGCAGAACATTAGTTCCTTCTTAAATATAAAGAATATTAGTGTGGCACATTAGTTCCTTCTGAAACATTTTTTAATTGGATAGCAAACGTCTTGTTATCAAGAAGTAAAAGCTGAAATTATCTTTGGAGGTCTTCCTTGTAATTTTGGGATGTGAAGAAGCCTCTGTGGCTGGGAGTCCCACAAACAATGTCACAGCAAGTGGAAAATGTTATTATTGATCCTTGTCACTTCTCAGGTGCTGTCCCTTTATAATCTGAGCCTGTCCCATATGGAATGGAATTCAGTCACTTGACACCACTGTGCTTTATCACCTTATTTTTGATATATCGTCTTCCTTGTAATTTTGGGATGTGAAGAAGCCTCTGTGGCTGGGAGTCCCACAAACAATGTCACAGCAAGTGGAAAATGTTATTATTGATCCTTGTCACTTCTCAGGTGCTGTCCCTTTATAATCTGAGCCTGTCCCATATGGAATGGAATTCAGTCACTTGACACCACTGTGCTTTATCACCTTATTTTTGATATATCTCACAGGTTTGTGAGGAATTATGTTTTAGTATCAAGCAGACATGCTAGCATATCTGCTTTTTTTAGGGCTTTTTTGTTTCTGATTCATGATCATGAAGGATGTGTCTTGGGAAGTTCAAAAACTAGAAGGCAAAGAGAAAAATTAAGACTTGATTTTTTAAAAAGATACCGTAAATTTTTATAGTAAATAAATTTTTAAGACATTTGAGGTCTCACCCATAGTATTTGATTTTGGATTTGTTTTTTAATGCCTAATTTTTGTCAATAATGCATGCCATCTGTGAATTTCACCATGAAGTAATGAAAGCCAAGGTGAAGCATTCACTCCCTGAAGGGCTGTATTACAGCTACAGTTTTTATTGCAATGTCTGGTTTTAAGAGAAGTGTCATCTGCTTAATTTTTGTCTAAGAAACAATGTTCTTAGCTTAATTGCTCAGATTTTTTTCCATCCCTCTTACAATTTTTTTCTTGCTGGACAAATTGGCCTGCTTTTATATTAAGATTTCCCATCACTTACAAAATCACATGGGACAGGATTTTTAACATAAGATTTGCCCTTTCTATTTGACATTTCCAAAGAAATTCATAGCAATTCAGCTGATCTTCACTGAGTTCCAACCAGAATTCCTGGAGTCAGTATTTTGACCTGGGGTAATAAATACTGCTGCGTTCTGCCATTGTTTTTATGACAGTAGGGGAAAAAAAAAATCACATCTTTTTTCTGTCAGAATTTGTTGACGTTGACATTTCTCCTTTAGAAAAATGAATGAGCCCTTTTTTTATATAATAAAAAATTTATATAATAAAATGTCAGTGAAGGGTCACTGACAACAGAAAAATTGTATATACCACTACCTAGTAAAATAGAAGTAGATACTAATTGTTTACAGGAGATTTTATTGCAAAGAGGTTTGTACCTATAAAACATAAGTAATCTGTCTAGTAATTGGGTATATTCTAATGTCCTTTTCTTTTGGTATTTTATATTATATTTATAGGTGCCCTAATGGTCATTACAATATAGAGTTCTATCTCTAGCAGTTATTGGTTTTGTGTAATTGGGTATATTCTAATGTCCTTTTCTTTTGGTATTATTTATATTATATTTATAGGTGCCCTAATGGTCATTACAATATAGAGTTCTATCTCTAGCAGTTAGTTTGGTTTTGTATGAAATTTCTGGATTAACTCCAGCCAGCAAACTTCCGCGCACTTCTCTGCCATTTGTTAAACAGTAGACTTTAAAGCTGTTCTTATTATTGAAGAGGAAGCTAAGCATCATGTACTAAGATGCAAATTTGGAAATATCTTAATATGCCAAGAGATGATCTCAGCAAGGCTCCCACTGTGGCTGTAATCCCAGTGAAAGTTCTGCAGAACTTGCTGCTTTCCCAGCCACGGGCTCAGAATGTCGTAGACACGAGAACCACGTATCATCCCCTGCATAGGATTGGCATCCTCTTGTGCCCCTGTGCGAGTAATGAATATAGGGGTTAACTGGTACAGTAAGCCATATGTAGAAATCTGTTAACTCTAGCCTATTGATTTTCCAAGGACTACATTGCCAATAGTCAGCCAGAAGTTTTACATTTTCCTTATACCGCTTATGCTCCCTCCAGGTTCTCTAAAATGTCTTCCAAAGATACTTGAAAATAGTTTCTCAAAAGTTCCATGGCATTTTCCCCATTATGTCTTTAGTTAATCTTCCCCTTTACTGCTGATTCCACAGCTGTTGATTTTCCCACGTGTTCTCCCAGATGGGATGGCCTATCCTCTTCTCTTAGATTAGGTCAATAAAATATTGTAACTTGGATGCTAAAGATGAGTACAAGATGTGTATCCAAGTATTTTCCTTAGTTAATCTGAAACAGTCCAGGATGGAATGCTGAGAATTTTGATTTTTCATTGCTTTCCACATTTCTGTAGAAGTATTAAAACTAAAGATACTGCAATGTAAATATTATTTTTTAGGGGGTTGGATTAAATGGGAGAAAAGTAAAATTACTGAATAAAAGCCCATTTTTTAAAACACCTTAACTTAAAGACATCTCTCTTTTTTTTTGTTTCCAGCAAAGAGATCCTTCTTCAAGATTAAGATCTTGCAGTGTAACAGACACAGTTGCTGAACAGTCTCAGTTATCCTTGGTAAACCAAAGCTAACTTCTATTTCTTTCTTTTTGTTTCGACATTCTCTGATTCTGAATAATATCTTATCTTAGGTCAGTTCTAGTCAGATATAGATCAGTAACCAGTATGGGCATATGACTATCCCAAATAGTATTGGATACCAAATTAATATCATCATGGTCAGCAACTAAAATGAGGACATTCATGAGAGAGAGCAATGTTTTGAGACTGAGAGCATAGTCACACTAACTTTAGTTATCTAGCATAGAAATTTAGTTTACTAAACTGTAGATACATAGTCAGTGGAGAGAGAAAATCCTCCAAGGGGTGTTTTCGGCTGGGGTAGGAGAGGGCAGTAGCACTGTTGACACTTGGAACTGTAGCAGCCACAGGACTGTCCTATCCAGGTATATTTTTGTGTCCCGTAAATTGATTTTACTTGGAATATATAAATCTGTATAATATTGAAAAAGATTGGTGTTTTACTTAGTTGTAGTTAAAAGGAGCCTTTTTGTGATAGTCCTTGTATGATAGAACTGAATAGAATTGCATCTGTTGTAGTTTTTTAATCTGAATGATTTAGCAGCTTCTTCTGCGATTTTATTTAAGTAGATTCTTCAAACAGGAAAAGATACAAAGATTTTTTTTTAAAAAACATTCTCTTTCACATCATAACCATGCACACCTTTGATCTAATTGATAGAAAGTTCTACATATTTTGTCCTACAACCCAAGTATGAGGATTGCAAAGGTGGTAAGCTATAGAGTGACTACTTAAAATAGGATTGTGCAAGATATGCTTTTGAATAAAACTGTTCAGATTTTAAAAATAATTCAGTATTTTTAAAAACGCTACTTCCTTTACTTGTTCTTTCTGTTGCTATTGGGCAGACATTTACAATAACCACGGTGTTTCTCTCCTTGTTTAATTTTTTCACCTGTTCTAGAAGTTGTTAGTGTATCTACATTTGCTGCTCACAGATGCATGTAATAGCTGTTGTTCCAAGAACTGCTTCTGAAGTATTATCTGTTTCTTTACTTTCTCTTCTGGGTAAACAGTGGTGTGGTTTCCAGTATAATTACATCTTAACTGTCTTCCCTCTCTACTGGACAAAGCTGTCTCCTAATGCAGTCTGTTCCAGAGGTGTTCTGCTTCTTTATTTAATATCACTTTATGGAGTCTGGGTTTCTTATCACTTTATGGAGTCTGGGTTTCTTATCACTTTATGGAGTCTGGGTTTCTTATCACTTTATGGAGTCTGGGTTTCTTATCACTTTATGGAGTCTGGGTTTCTTTAACTGGTGTAGTCAGATTGGGATTGGTGATGTGTCTTTCACTTTATTATTGTAGAACACTCATTTCATTAGCAGATGTTCAAAACAGCAGAATTGAAAGCATTGCTCTAAAACAAGGATGTTGCCTGATCTTAACCATATTTAATCCTTACTAAGCTAATGATAATTTATCTTCTAGCAACTAAATACATACTTTCTTTCTAAATACAGTGCTGTTCTTGACTGTATTAATCCTTACTGAAAATTCAAAGTACCAGTTCCGTCTTTTTCATCGGACTTTTTCTGTGCAGTCATTGATGACCAGAATGTATCCATTTTGGTTTTAAATACCATGTTTATGGGCAGAACATGCAAAGTTTATTGGGGGGGTGGAGGGTGTTAATAAGATCATGTTACATTTAGAGTAAATGTTCTTATTATTATCATTAGCAATACTGAACATATAGAATTGGATACAACAACTCTTGAAATTAGTTCCCTTGGTGGTTTTTGTATAAGATTCTGACCTGGTTATCAGTGATTGATGACTCAATTTTTTGCTATTATCTTAAACATTATTTCCATCTAATTGCTGTCTCAATAAATTTGACTGTCTGTGATTCCCTACTCCTAAAGGTGTGACAGTAATCTGTGACCTTCATCACTAAATATACTTATCTGTAACATTCATTATCATTTAACAGCAGAGTGGTCCATCTAGGAGAGCTCGTTCTTCAACTGTCACAGGTGGTGAGGAACCAACGGTAATAATACTCTTTATCAAGCACTATCTCTAAATAAAATGTGGGTAGATTTAGGTCTTGTACAACAAGGAACTTTTTTTCACAAAGCAGCAGTGTGTTGAATGAAACAGTCACTGAATCAATAGTTACCTTTTTTGTTGTTGTTTCAAATTTTCTCAAAACACTGCAATTTCACGCAAATACTAGCATGTTTTAATGATGTGGATATGCCACTGAGTTTTAACAAAGCTGTGCGCTAAGGAGATACCACAGGCTTCTGAAAAATGAAAGATACAATACCTAATTCTTTAAAAACAGATACTGAATGAATTAGGGATTAGAGACATCAGATGAGTATACATCTAGCTGTGTTTTTCGCTTGCTTCTGTCTTCCCTTACTCTCCATTAGACTAATTCATTTTAATTCTTAAAGTTGATTGTAATTTGAGAACCGTGGAGGTACAGTGATGTATTATATAGCTCTTAATGGTCTTATTTAATGCCAGTTTTCATTTTCCAGTAGTTGTTCAGCAGTCCAAGGCTGAATTGTTACTTTAGTCATCTAATAAAATTCTGGAAGTGCTTTTCTGAAAGTGTAATACAAGGAAAGTGGTTTTAATTTATATTGGACTTTGTCAAAAACATCCCCTTCTTTTTTAACCTGATTAAATGTCAGTCTGAAGCAAGTTATTTCATAGAAATCATTTTACAGTAACTATCATAAGTAGCTTTTATGAATATGTGCGCTCCTAGATAATTTGTTTCAGGGAAAGAAACATAATTTAGACTTGGTATTTTTCCTATTTGTATTTGATAATGTCAGATCTTAATTTGGGTGTTGATGCATCATTCTGTAATACTGTATATATGTACTGTTTTTTGAATTTTAGAATCAGAGGAGCATACTTGTGTTTTATTACTGCAAATAGCTTTTTTTCTTTGTTTCCTTGCAAAACCTGCTTGACTTGTTAATCATTAGTTAAAATGCATGCTATATTGAACTGTAGTGTAAAGAAGGTCTTTTGTTGGCAGAGCATCTTGTCTTGATCATACTTTTTAGAGCAAAATACTAATATTTTTCTGCAAATAACTCAGTTTAAACTTCACTGACTCATAATTAATACAGCTATGTCATAGATGTTTTACCTAATTATATTGCAGCTTACTAATGGGACCCTACCCCCCCACTTTGTCTTCATTCAGCGTACATTTATACTCTGAAATCCAAATCTGCAGAGGACTTAGGACTTAAATAGGATTCATGCATTTAAATCCAAAAGCAGTCTCTTCAAAGGTTGCCATTCTTTTTGTCCTTTAGGCACCTAAAGTTTGTAGGCATACAATCTGTCAATAGTAGAAGTTTCTAGGTCACTTTAGTTTTGCTTTCAGAATCCTATAAAACCCTTCATTGATATGGGACCCACAAATTAGACATTCTTCAGCCTCAGTCCCTAAAGCAGCATGATTCTGCAGGCATGCTGGGAGCACGTCTAGCACAGAGGCACAGGGGTGGACTGCACAAAAATGCAATGCTGTGGCATCTTAAGAAGTGGTGATGCCCCTTTTTATAACTGGCTTAGTTGAGTTACTTAAGAGCAACAAGCACAAGAGCTCTGTGCCCTCCTACATATGAGATGATTTAAATCCACATGGCTCTTTCAGGAATAGTCCCAGTGCAGGACTGTCTTCCTCTTGAATCTGTTTTGCAGTGAGAATGAAAGACGCATTGCACAGGTGAGGGAGCGATAACTGTGCTTGGCTCTTTAGCCTGATGACCAATGCACTCAGCGAGTTGAGCCCCTTCAGGAACAGCAGTTAAACCCAAGAGTGGCATATCCTGATTGATGGCTTTAATTACTGTTATTTTGTGTGAGAGTTGATATTACCGTCATGGCTCCACCCTGTCTGTTTTAGAGTGTGACTAAAGTAGGAAAAACTCTGTGTTGATTTGTGGTTTGTCTTAGCAAGCTTTGAGGCCTGAGGAGGCTATTAAAGGGCATATTCATGCAAACTAATGTTACCTGATTTCCACACACACACCCCCCTTGGGTCCAAGTCTAAGCATTTAGATCATAAGAAATTGATACACTAAATATTATGTGTAACTAAAAATGTTACATCTGCCGTAGATACAGCGTGGCTGACTTTTTATATTGTCAGTGACGGAAGATGAGTAGATTTGTTACACTTGAGTGTGTGTAATGAAGTAGGTATTGATTGTAGATAAAGTGCATGTTTGGGTAAATATATCTGTGGTTATTAACCACTTGCTTTTCAGGATTTTTTTTTTCTTTAAGTCCCCCAAGGTCCTTTACCATTCCTCTGTGAAGGCTACATTGTAAAACTAGGCTGAGCAAAACATAAGTTAATGCATCCTGTGTCCCAGCATCTCCATTCTTGTGACATTTTGTCCTTAACCATAATACTCTCTCCCCCCCCCCAAGTATTTATTGAAGACAGTTGTTAAAAAGCACTCAATTTTGGGAAAAAGGCTCTTGATAAATCTCCCAAGTTTCTACTCTGTGTGGTAGAATATCTTTTACACTGGTATCTAACATATGGAAAGGAGGTTGAAGGGCAAACTCTGTTTTGCAGATTGCATTATGGGTTGCATTAACCCACAGTGAATAGCAAGGAGAAAGGCTGCTGATAGCTGAATTTATTCTGATAGTGTGTTAAAGAGAAAGGAAAGATCAGGTGGCATAACTAGAGCATCTGTCTTGTGTTTCTGTATCCTCACAGTCGAAGTTGATAATTTGCAGCATGCCATCATATAGTGAATAGATTGTGTATTATTACAACTAAATGATTAAATTTTTAATTGAAAATCCCTGAATTATCCACACCTTATGTTTACTCTGTACTGTAGACAATATTAATAGCCTGAATAGAGCAAACATGTAGGAATGTGTAGCAGTCATCCATTAGTCCAGAAAATCTGTGAATCACTGTCAGCCCTCGCAATTTCTCCCAGACTAATCAGTTAATTATCTAATTTTTAACTCAAACATTGTCTGTGGACTGCTTTCAGACCACTTACTGTGGCCTTATTGACCACTGATTAACGGTCTGGAAACCATTAGAACAGCCTTGAAAAGGTAGTCTCCTTATCATTGCCTGCCAGCTCTGTGAACTAAGACAAGTGGAAAAATAGCATAGTCTTTCCAGCACTTGTCTGTTTAGGAAAGAAATAAATCAGAGTCTCATATTTTGTTTCAGTGGGTATTACTTTGTTTCCTCATCTGTTTTCCTCTGTTTTCTATTTCCTATTGTAGTATGTCAACTTTCTGACCCATTCAGTATGTTTTCTCATTTCCTTTCTTGATTATCTAGGCAGTTCTCCAGTTCATTGTGTCAACCATGCTCTTCTCTTAAAAAGCAAATATACTGACTTAAGCAAGAATCCTGGGAAAGAGGTCTTAAGAATATGAAGCAAGAACAAGAATTACAGTTAATTACTTTGCTGGAGCAAAGAATGTAGAGTGTAGAAAAATAATGTATCCTCAATTTCAACAGGAGTCTTCAGAGGCCTAAAGAGAGTTATCAAATTCTACTGTGTAATAAAATTCACATCTTCGATCTTTGGGTAGTAATTTTCCACTATATACGTATTTTTAAATGGAATGATCATAAAACACAAATCACTGTTTATAAGGATGTGGAAAGAGTAACTTTGCTTGCTTTGTGGTTAGTCTGGTGAATAAAGCTAAAGACAGAGAGGCAGCTATCCAAGTAGCCAAGTTGTGGCTTAATACTTCCCATGCTCTTGTGAGTCTGCATAGTAACTCAAAGCATGGATGGTACATACTTTAGAAAAAGAAAATACAGTTTGTAGTAAGACGTACAATACTTGCACTGAGGAATCTAAATAGTAAAATAAGGAAAAACTGTTAAACTTTTAGAGTTTAAGATACTAATGAATGGATTGCAGGTATTGAACTGGAAACTGGAATCATACTTAGCCATCTAAGTTTTACCAATTAATTTTGCATTCGTTCTATTCACCCTATGTATGCTGTAAGTGGTTATAGGTTTTTCTTATACTGTCAGCCATAATGCAGTTGCTAATGATTTTTTTTTTAAATCTTGCAAAAAAAGATTTCCTTTAAATTAATATAAATTCAGGAAAAATAAAAATCTGTTTGTGATATTTCTCACATGACTTTGAATTTCAGTCCTTTTAAGCTTTTACTACTCTTCCTTTTACTGTTTCGTGGCAAAAAAAAAAAATAGCTTCTAGTGCATCAAACTCTGAATTAATGCGTCTTGCTAATTCCACTTCATTACAATTTTTTAGTTCACCACTTACTCCATATATATTTCTTAAATAGTGCTTGCATATATAATTTGATAGTGACTACTTCAGGTTTAAAATAAATTTAATATTAAAAGTATGCAGCCATAGGATAGAAACAAATTATTTATCAGGCTACGTTTTAAAAAAAAAAAAAATAATTAAAGTATCATTTATTATAGATAGCCATGACAGATAAGAGAAAGAACATTTCCTGAATTGCCAGGAGACCAATCTCAATGTTTCTTTAAATGTTTAGGGCAGTAGTATGTTAAGGTAGGAATAACACTTTTTCATAACGTGTTGGATTTTTAGTTTAATTACAAGGATTAGTAATTTTTACGTTAAATATACTTAGCTTTTTTCCTTCAGAAGAATGGTCATCAGTGCAGTTGTCACTTTACCAGGAAGACTCCTTTCTAAAACTAGAAAGCTTAACAGTTGGTTTCTAACCTATGTGAAGGTATTTGATAATTTTCAAGGCTGATTCTTCCCTTGGTTTTATTTTAAGGTCATACTAAATAAGTTTAAAGAGTCTTCCTTAAACATCTTTGATCTCTTACTCATGCTTTGTATTCCAACATTCATTCCAAGTGCTCACGGAATTCAATTTGCATTCATCTAGTGAGAATTTAAAAGCTCAGAGCCATATATGAATTTTAATATTTTGCAGGACTGAGTCTTCAGTCATTCATCTTTATCACAATCATTTACCCGTAGAGCTGATTTCCTTCTGCCTGCACTTAAGCTGCTTGTTATATGAATCAGCCCTGAAACAGAGGCTGTGTTTCTGATGGTCATCTCAGATGTGGGCAAAATACTCAAAAAAGCAGAGGCAGCTTTGCTACTCTGAATTGTTGATATCATTACTGTGATACACATGTCTCTGCCTACAGTGGTTTAACAGTGGCTGCCAAAGACTGGATGAAAGAAAACCCCATATCTGCCCCTAGTTCATTGGCTTACTCATTCTCTTGATGTGAGGCTGAGACATACTACTCTTTTCAGAGTTTGTGCTAGTGATCAACTCTTCCCAGCAATTATTTTATATCTCTAATAAAAATATCGGGATTGATGCTAAAATCATACTGTTACTGTGTAGTGCTGAATTTGCACTGACTTCCAAATTTGAAGTTGTGTCTCAGTAGTTAGTGACTCCTGGTACTAACAAAATGAGCAAAGACCGCACGTGAAGTGACAACAAAATATCTAATGTTCCGCACAAAGCTTCAGTCTGTATGCTCTGTTTTTCCTTTATCTAGCACAGCAGCACATCTTCTCCATGAGATGCCCTGAAATTGCAGAAGTGAAAATTACACACCTTCATGTTTGATACATGATAACATGTTTTCTGTGAAAAGACAGAATGAATGAAAGCATGACTGTAAATCGGAATTCTTTCCATTTTGGGCTTACCACCTAAAAAAGGGGTTTTGGTGTTGGTTTTGTTGTTTGTTTGTTTGTTTTTTTAATGTAAAGAATACTATTGTCTGAAATAAAGACATGCCTTTGACTTCTGCAGTAGGCAATTGCCTTAAATATGTAGTCCTTTGTGAAGCGAATTGGATTAATGAGCGTTGGAGTAATTTGACCATTAGAGCAAAGGACAATTCCTAGTATGCATGTGTTTCTTAGCCGCCTTCCCTTGTTACGTCCAGTAACTGTCTGTTGTCAGACATTTGGTTTTACAGTCAGTCTTTCTTCAAACCATGTTTTTAAAAGTAGCATCCTGCTTCTTTCAGGAAAGATCTTATAAAAAAACTAGTCTTCTCTTTTCCAAGCAGTCTCATAAGAGTTCATAAATCTTCTTGTAAGCAGCAGATTGTTGGGGGTGGAAGGGGCAGCAACCAGAGCTCCTTTGTGCATCTTGGACATTGATAAAAGTCCTTTCTCTAGCTCAGATGTCGGAACCATTTCTTCCCAATCTGAACACTGGCATTAACTATTACATCAGCTCAAGAACTTGCAGCATTACAGAAAATTTGATGTTCAGGTGCAACAAGCACTATACGTTTAGCAGTTCAAGTACAAGTTTTGCCTTTCTCTCTGCTGTGCTGCGTTGCAGTTCTACCTGTCAGCATTTAAACCTGAAATTCTTTAAGGACCAGGAAGTTCACGTTTTACATCCATAGGAAAAATGCCATGTACATTGCTACAGCCTGTTCAGGGGAAGCCATGATAAAAGCAGATTGCTAGATGAAGGCGTCTTGCTTTGTTTTCTTAGCACTACAAAGCTGCCTATTTCTAAAGGAATTAATGTTATTGATGATGAATTAAAGCACTGCACAAATTGATAAGACAGTGCAGTTCAAGCACTGTTTTTTACTCTGTCATGTGATGAAGACCTTTAGGTTTCATCATCCTGCTATCAAGGCAGATGTTTTGAAAGAGTGAAGCAGTCTCTAGCACTATAGACTCCTGATTATTAATGTATTAGTGTATATTTTAATGTGATTAATCTAATAATTAAACCAAATGCATCTTGAACCAAAGATCTAGGCATAGATACTGAAAAGCACCTTGCATGTGCCCAGTCTTTGATACAATTATTAATACACAGGCTTCATTAGAGAGCAAAAATACTGTCCTGCAGAATTTAGCAGTTTGCTTGTATCTGCTGTGAATGACAGAAATTTCTGTATCTCTCTAGCTCTTAGTATTTATATCAATACATCTCAACAAAGTTAAGAAAAACGCCTATCCTGAGTTTTCTGATTTTCTTGTTTGCTTCGCTGACAGCCAGGATACCTGTTCTTAATCTGTTATACAAGCAAGTGATGTCTTAAGAGGAGTCACAAACTAGAAAGTGACTAAGCTTAATAAACATGTAGATTTATACAGAGGATATGGTCTAAAAACTGTAACTCCCTGGCATCCTCCCCTTCTAAAATACATATTCAGATGCAGACAGGGTCAGTGTTAAAAATTCTCGCTAGGCTGTTTTTCTCCAAGAAGCTATGCCGTTTGTGCTACAATGCATTTTTTTTTTTCTTCTGCTGTATGTCCCAGGAAAAAATGTTCAATTGGTTTAAGCATTGAATATTTTCCTTACAGGAAGTACACAAGACAACATCAGCAACACACAATAATATAATTATTGCGTTGAATAGTGACATGACTTGTTTAATGAGAATTGGTGCCTTTGGCACCGTTATCATTATCTGTATATTTTCTTTAGAACAATGTCTTTCTTGTGCAACTTCTAGTAAAAAAATCCTTTCACACCAAAGTTTGGACTCCAATTTGGGGTGTATCTTGTGTCTTCAGGACACCTAACCCTGAATGCAGCATTTGTAACTGTAACAAATTGATTGCACTTCAGTTTTTAAACCCACAGTAGTTTCTTGCAACTGATTCAAGAGACCTTGTGGTAAAGAACAGAACAGAACTTGGGACATCTTGACTTGACTGCACAGTTAGTTCAATTCTTGCTTATCCGTACTAATAAAAGGAAAAAACATCCACCTTTTAAAGGAAAAATCATTAAAACACAAAGTTCCTTTTTGTCATTATGTGTAATCTACACATTAAAAAGTTTGAGGGCATATAAGCTTAGCTGTTTTCTGAACAAGATACCTGAATCTGCAAAAGTGAATCAAAAGTTCTATTGTGAGGAAAAATGATTTGACTCAAAGGTATGTCAAGAAGAGCTTATATTAAATGAAATCAGAAACCATATTTTTCTATATGTTTGTTGTGTTTAAGAATGTTGTAAGTTAACAAGTTGTTTTTTTTTTAAACAACGGACTTATGAAATTTTTTTTTAGCTGTTATAACAATACAGTTATTGTTATTTTATTAATTTATTTATTAAATTACAATTTCTTGCTTGAACAGCCTTCAGTGGCCTATGTACATACTACACCAGGCTTACCTTCAGGCTGGGAAGAAAGAAAGGATGCAAAAGGCCGTACATATTATGTCAACCATAACAATCGAACCACAACATGGACACGGCCCATTATGCAGGTATGAAGATCTGTTGTAATGCTCAATTTAGATAGCAAACACTTAGCATGTATTGAGTATAATGTCAGTTGAAGCAGCTCTTCAGAACTCTGAAATTTAAAAAAAAAAAATCCTAAGCGTTGTCTTGACAACTCAGGGTAACCATAAAAAATTGCAACGATTGGGATTTTTTTGTTACTTCTTTTAACTATATTAAGGTACAGATTAAGTTGATTGCTACAATGGAAGGAATTTACAGAGAGGTACATATGAACTAATAAAAGGAGGCAAATGCATTCTTAGGATTGAATCTGAAAGTTGTATTGATCTATTAATAGTACCATACATTATTTGCCCTTCCAATGGAATTAAATTAAATACTTGATCTTTAGGAAAGTATGTTTAATATTTCATAATAATAATAACAATAAATAATTACATCATTTTTTAAGTGTCCTAACTCTGGATGAACTGTGTTATTGACAACTTGCTAACTTGGTTTTGCTTCTGAAATAGCTTGCAGAAGATGGCATGGTTGGGTCAACAGCAAACAGCAGCAACCATTTAAGTGAACCGCAGATAAGACGGCCTCGTAGCCTCAGTTCACCCACAGTAACTTTATCTGCTCCACTTGAGGTGAGAAACGCTGTTACCAACAAAGATCACTTATGTCTGACTTCTCATTCATTGTAACTTCTTATTTCCTTTTTAATTATGCAACGCAGCCACTTTCCCTGTTACTGGTTTTGCCATAAATTATTGCTGTTTTCTTTAGCAGTTTTCTGTCTGGATCTTTATATTGTACAACAATATTACTTAACTTTTATGGTCATTGAATGATGTAATACATATATGATTATTTAGTTTGGTCAGCTAAAACGTCATCTGTGTGCATGTCTGAAACATACGCTGTTGTGACTCCTTTCAAGTGCTCTGAATGTATAAAATCAGAAATATTTTCTTAAGTTGAAAGATTTATTGTGATGCTGATAACTTTGAAAATAATACATGCAATTGAGTTTGGAAAATCTTTGAATTAAGATACTAATTGTGTTTTATATTCCTTGTCTTTCAAAAGGACATTTAGTTTCTTTTATGTATCTTTAAAAGTAAGTCAGAATACTGTTGAATGATGTTCACTGCAACATATCTGAAGAATAACTGAAGTGGCTTCTTATGCAATCAAAGACAACGTGTTTTACTTCTGAAAGTGTGATTAAAACTCTTGAATCAGTTAAACATGGCTGTGTTGAGGAGAGTAAATTCTTAAAAATTTCTTCTTCAAACTTAAAGTATGGCACCTTATTTGTACTTCTCTCTCACCGTCTCTTTCCTGCTTGTGTCCCCTTTGCCCCTGCAAAAGTTTGCCAACAATCAAGTGAAGATTGTAACATTTAGTTCATTTTATGCATTGTTGTTCTTTGTTCGTTATACTGAAAAGTACTCAATCTATTGAGCAAATTGTTAAACAAAGGTAGGATTATTGGACAGATTGTAGTGAAGTGATTATAGTTCATATTTAAAATAAATTATCTCTACTTATATGTAATTCAGATAAACCCTTTAACAATGAACTACTTAAAACTACTCTTGCCATTGTTAATTTTGAAGACAAAATTTACTGTAATTTAAATAAGTTAAATTAAAAAATTCTGAGTATCTTAAACTAAAACATTAAGGGCATTCCTCTCCCTACTGACATTTTAAACAGTCGAGCTGGTGGAAGTCACTGACTAAGCATCTGAAACTTGAGTTGCTCAGGGCGATAAGCTAGCTTTTAAAGGCAATAACCTATTCTGTGGCTACTAAACCTGTGTTCTCTTCACTTCAGAATATTCAGCTAATCAGTTTGGTGGTTAGTTTGTTCAATGCTCAGAAACCACAAGGGTGCTGAAGGGCACCAACTTGTCTTCTTATACCCACCTCTGATTTTTTTTTTTTTTTTTTAAATTAA